TACAGTAGCATTTCTGCACCCTGAAGGTGACGGATCAAGTGAACATGCTAAAGCTGCATCCATATCGTATGCCTTTGCAAAGAGCTATATCTCTTGTTTAAATATATGATGGGTATTTGAGACTTGGCACTGCTTTGAAGATCCCTGCCTTGTTTATGTAGAGCTTTTGCCGAAACTAATACTAAAAGTATTGTCTTCACTATTTAGCATGAAGCCCGAACTCCCAGGAGGGGTCACCGTGGTGCCATGGCTTTTCCACATGTTGTGCGCCCAGTTGAGGAGATAACAGCAGAAGAGCTGAATAATATTTGTGGATCCGCAAGAGAGAAAGTGTATAACAGAGCCATGGTAAGTATATTCCAACTTTGTGAAATGCGTGCTTTGTGAAGTAGTTCTCTTGTTATTCCCTGCTTGTGGTTTAGCATCAAATAGAGCAAACTTCCTCTCACTGAGAGGAAGGATGTGATTTTTGGGAGAAGTATGCCTGAGATCTTGAAATGTCATCTCTTACCTTATCTTTCCCTGAATTTACCTGCCATTACCAAGCCAGTTAGCTTGTTTTTGCCCTGGAACAACTGTAGTACCTAGACGGTACCAGCTGAGGAAAGTGATTAAAGTGACACTGAAGATGCAATGTTAAAACAGTCTTGGTTCAAGCTTGCAAGGTGGCTTTCTGTTTCAGGATAAGCGCTGCTAGCTGCTAAAAAGATTGCTTGTTAAATGCTCTATTACCCTAACTAAAGAGCCATGTTTTGTGTCTTGTGACCTGAACTACTTTTCCTGTGTTCTAGGGATCCACTTGTCATCAGTGTCGCCAAAAAACTATGGACACCAAGACAAATTGTCGTAACCCTGATTGTGTGGGAGTACGGGGCCAATTCTGTGGGCCATGCCTCCGCAATAGGTATGGGGAAGATGTCAGAACAGCGTTGCTGGATCCGGTAAGACAATTTTTAATACTGGCTTTATTGTGCTTAACTTGAGCAGAGAGGTGCATTGGTTACTCTGAGCAAAGCGTTTTAGCAGGGGAACTCCTTACAGTGCTGTAATACGTAATGCAGTCCTGGTTTGATTCAAACTCAATCACAGAACCTTGTGTTGTGTAGAACTGGTAGTTACTGCTTCTATAGCTTTATTTGCAGGAGTAAGCTACGAGAGCAGAGCAGCTGCCAAAATATTCTTGTATTTGAGCATCAGAATAGTGTTCTCTTTCGCCCTGCATTAGTGCTTAGTGCCCTATGGAAAGGATCTGTATTGTGGACAAAGGAACTGTTGTTGTGGGCTGTGGAAGTGGTGCACGAGTTCCGGAGTGGAAGCTTCCGGTGGTTATGTGCAAGGCAGGCAAAGGAGAGTTTAATCCCTTACAAACTGAAGAGTTTGTACTCTTGCACTGGTTTAGACAGCTTCTGCAGCGCTGATGTTCAATGCAGAGCTCTATGCGGAGCAGGGCCCTCTTTAAATTGCGGGTGTGAATCATGTCTGGCATTCCAGTTAAGTTAAAAAGGCTTGTTGTCTGTCTCTTATCTAGACCTGGATGTGCCCACCATGTCGTGGAATCTGCAATTGTAGCTTCTGCAGACAGCGAGATGGCCGATGTGCTACAGGTGTCCTGGTCTATCTGGCCAAGTACCATGGCTATGACAATGTCCATGCCTACTTGAAAAGGTCAGTATGCCATTGTGTCAGTGGTATGGCTCTACTCTAAGTGGGATGAGCAGCTCAAAACTGGGAGAGGAGAGCTCTCCATGTCCCAGTTTGTGATGTAAATCTCAAGATCAGTCCATGTTGCCTTTTAGAATCTGAGATTTTGCCATATGATTTTTCTGACATGTTGCTGCTTACCCAAAACAAGTGGTATATCCACTCTATCTTTTGGCTCAACTTCAGCTGTGTTTATTGTCAGAGCTTCCACTAATTTGCCTAAAGAGTTTCCAAACAGTCTTTTGCTACAAGATAACTCTTGTTTCTACTTGTCTTTCAGTCTGAAACAAGAACTTGGAATGGAAGACTGAAGCTGTGACTGCCTTTAAATTACGTCCTCTTTCACCAATGTTGTATTATTGCCTACACTGAATTGTTTAATCAAATGAGATTACAAAGCCAGTGCCTGCCTTCCCTCCCCTTTTGGGTAAAAAAGGATAAAGAACTGTCACTTATCTCGGTGCAAGTCATACTTGGAAAAACCGTTTAATGAAGGTCTTTGCCTGCAGGCCGTTGTTTTCTTTTTAAACAACTTTGCAAATCAGATAGCATCAGTCCTTGCTTTCATAACAATAACTTCTTGTTTTTACTGAAGGGACATGGGGCTTTAAGCCATTAGGGTTTTATTTGTGCAGTGATCTGTGCTGCAGGTTTATTTATGCTTTGAAGTTGATCACAAAAAGATACACGTGTTCTGAAAATTCAGGGTACTGTTCCCCACAGAACCGAGCAGGGAAAGGTATTTGCTTAACTCCAGGGCAACTTCTGCTGCAATACAGACTCTTACTGAACATAAATGATCAAATAGAAGCTAAGAATTCCCTAAAGCAATGACACATTCTTAAATTTGTAAAGGAAGCCCTGAAAGTTGCAGCTGAGCAGTCTCCAAGCACTAATATTTGGTTTCATAGAGTACTCCAAGTGCACATTGGCCATTTTAAGGGAGATTCTCAGAGTGGCTTAAAAAATGCAGCAGAAGCAGTTGGGGGTGGCACTTTGTATTTTTGCTCAGATGAGGAGGCCACTGCTGAAAGCTTCCACAGCACCAGCACTAGCATTGCCTAGCAATGACAGTGATGTGAACGTAGTGGAATACATTGTGGAGTGACCACTATCTAAAACAGGATGTACCCGTTGTTAAATTACTGGTTTTGTGGGTTCTCTTCTCTTTGCTCTTGCCGCAACTACAGAACTTCTTTGTAGAATCAGCACTGGTCCTGGGCAAGAGGGATGCCTCCAGACCAGGGCTTGGTTAAATAGAGGGATAGTGGTTCATGTTGCTGTTGGCCCACTACAAGTGGATGAGAGAAGGTAAATTGTTGAATTTGGTTGTCAGAAAAAGGGACAATTGCTGGAATTAGAAGCCTGAATTTTTTTACCTCTGAAAAAAATTAAAAAGCAAGGACTTTCTAAGCTACAGTCCAGCTTAAAGTGAGTTATTCTTCCAGTTGCATAGAGCAGCGTAAACAAAAGATAATATTCTCAAGAGACACCCCGGTTGTTGTAACAGATGAGGTAGAATGATTGCCTCATCAAAAAGGCTTTTAAAAATAAATAAAAAGGGAGATGTAATGAGTTGCATAGTTTGTGAGCACTTACAAATATTAGTGCTATGGTCTCCTTAACAGTTCAGCCGTATTTCTCTATCTGGCTCCACTGATCGTAGAAGGATATTTTGTGTGATGTTGTTAATGACGCATGAGTACAGCAAAAACGGAGCTGAAGGATTCTAATGTGCTGTGTGGATGGGGTTTGTGTACTCAGTGCTGTAGAAAAGGTGCTGTGAAAATTGCATCTGGAGAACCACGAAGTGTATAAATGCGCTTACTTTGGTTATGGAAACTACTGTATAAGCTTTGTATAAGGTTTAGAATGCAATGTAACATAACGTACGGTTGAGTAGTAGAAGAATCAACTTGCTTTTACTGAGCACTAGAAGAAAACATGGGTTTAGACTTCTCAGCTTGCACAGTATTTGCACTGTGTGTATACATAATGATCCACAGTTTATACCTTTCTGGGAATTACATCAATGTGTGTGGGAGGGGAGGAGAGAGGAATTTAGAAACAAAAGATGTTTATGCCTCAGACTTGCAGTTCTGTTTCATAAATCATCTGTCCTACTGAAAATCTCCTGTCCTCTCTTTGTCTGTTTTTATAGTGTGAATAGCTGTGCAATCTGAGGTGGAGAGTGCTCTACACTCTAGGTACATTTTGTGAAGAAGGAACTCTAGAAATCCATGTTCTGACAGATAAGAGCAATTTTAAAAAAAAATTTTTTTTTCTTTATTGCTGGGCTTACCTTCTGATTGCCAGAGAGTGAAAGGACTGTGCTAAAAGCAAACCCTTGCATTGTATGACAAAGACTGCTGCATTTAGATTTACTTAGATCTACAATGTTCTGTACAAATTTTTTTATCTTGAAAATAAAAATTTTCTGGGTTAGAATTTCTGCCTCTTCAGTGTTTTTAAAAAGCCAATTTGAGCTGTACTTAGATTTTATCACCTTTCAGGTAAGCTTTTGTTGTGAAGTAACAGAGTCGGTTGTTTCCATCATACCTGGGGGAGCAGTGGGATTAGGTCATCTTTCTCTCCCCAGCCATGTGTCCCTGAACCAGGCTTGCTCTGATATTTGTGCTGCTTGGATTGAATTGTTCGGTAACTGATGACTAACTTGTGATGGTAGAAATACATAGGAGCTGAGTTCAGGCCAGATACAGACTTGAAGCACATGCACTATGTGCTTACCCTTCTGCTTTTTATTTCTATGTTTCTTTAAACTAGATATCTACATCCTGAGCTGAGAAGGACAAGAGGATATTATTTTGCATGGAAGTCAAAGTCAGGTGCCTGCAAAAAATACCTTTACATATTTTTTTTAAAATTTTTTCTTTTAATTTTTTTCCAAACAAACTTATGTAACTTCTCTCAGGAGCTCTGTGCTGGAGTGGAGAGTTACCTGGAGGGGCCTTGACTGCAGGCTGACAGTTGCTGAAGACTGGTTTTGATACTTGCACTGCTTGTTTTTGCATCAGCGTAGCTAGGTCTAGAGAGAGGAGTTACATGACTGTGGCAGAAGGTTACACAAAGCCTACCTGTAATGTAGTGAGAGAGGAAACAGGAAAAAAATGATCAAGCAGAGTGTGTGAGCTGTCCCCAGATATTCTCTAGTGGTAAAATCCTCATGTCATTACTGTTGCCTAAAAGCTTTGTTTAGATGCGTTACCACTCAGCACACTGCTGGTGATGTGAGAATAAATGTGTATGTAGTTGTGTAGTATGTTAGTTTATGGTTTACACAGTGATTTTTGAGGTGTCTCAATACACCTTTTTCCCGAAGTCTCTGTACTGCTGTCACTTGAGTATTGTTGATAGTACCTTGACAAATAGTTCAAGAGGTCATGGTTTCTATCGGCAGCAGTTTAAGAAACTTCATGAGGAAAAGATCCTAGTTCTGTCAGCTTTAAAAACAAAGGTGCATGGAAATAGAGTATCACTGTTAAAGGAAGAAGAACAAAGCTCATGTGTGAGGCAGAATGACGGCTAATTTATTATTGAAAAAGACTGAGTTCATATTCCCTCACTACTCTCATCTTTATGGCCAGATGATCTTGTGCCTAGGTCTGATATAACTTCCAATTTTTTTTTTTTAACCTGGTATAATAATTTATAACTGTTAGAAAGGGAATACTGAAAAGACTAATAGTCAAATTACACTCTTAAATTCCTTCTAACTTTGTTCCCTGTGATGGGAGGTGGATGGGAATGGCACTTAGTGCTATGTAATAGTCTGAGAGAAGTAACTGCCAGAAGGGTGAGTGGTAGCTGCTTTTCTTTTGGTTGTTTTTAAAGTTGAATATGTAAATAAACCCCCAAGCTTACTTGAGAGTAAACTTTTCATTACAGTGATACAGTATCTACTGACAGAATTGACCAAAACTCCTTAATATCAGAAATTTATCTTAGACTAGTATATATTAATGTTATTAATATGTTATTTGCTTCTTCCTTGTCTCACTTGCTTTTTAATTAAGCCAAACGTTGAAGCATTATGTCTTCAAATCTTGAGAGAAGAATTTTTATCTTCCTTACTATTGAGCAAACTTTTTATTCTCGTTGTAAGTTACAAAAATAGCATTGAAGTGTTGCTTCGCAGACTGATGAAGTAGCATACACTGTACATTCCAGAGCAATATGCTCAGCTGCTTAACCAGTTACGTTAATGTAGGGAGCTGCAATGGAAATTTTAAAAATAGGCATTAGCTTTGGAAACTACCCCCTCTCCCTTCCTAGCCTCATGAGCTAATCTGCCTTAATTTTGTCTGCCAGAAACCTAAAAACACTTTGAAGAGAAAAGCAAGGAGATAGTAGCATAACAAAGCAGCATCATCATTTGCTTGGGTTGGCTAATGGGATCAAAAAGGGCAAAATGGTTGCAGCTAGTCAAAGACTGGCTTCCAGCGTTCCAGGGTGAGGGAACATAGCTGACTTTGAAACCTCATCTGTAATACACAATGTGCATCTGAAACGTTTGGCAAGAGAGTCACCCACTGACCTCTGCTGGCATAAACCAGTTTGTTCTCTTACAGCTTTTTGCTAGTGCAGCTCTCGCATGGTTAATGGCATAAGCTAGTGTGGAGACTTTGGAAATACTGCCTGCTGTTCTTTAATGTTCTTGGCCTCACAACTAAAGCGGAGTAAAAAGATACGGCTTTCTCTGTCAAGTATAGGCTGGCCAGTCTGTGGAGTCCTAAATGCCGGCACCCAGGTAATTGCTGGGCTGTGCTATAGATGGATATGAGTGTAAGTGCTCCAAATGTTCAGAGAGGACAGCATTACACTTTCATGCTTGAGTGTCACCCTTCTCCCAAATAAGTCTGGGGCTCCTAGATAGGAGAAAAGAAATTAACTGGAAGTAACGGTATGGTTCAGAATGGGGTAAGAAGGCATCATATCTGTCTCTTATTAGTGGTGTTTTAGTAGTATTTGTGCTGATCACTTGAACAGGAAAAAAAAAAAACAACAGTTGAGCTGTAGATCCTGCTGTGTTGAGTCCTACTCATATGACCTTTCGCCTGGAATATATCTACAGGTAAAACATACATCTACTCCTGAAAATGGAAACAAAACGTTACTGAAATTACAGATTTGTGTTTGAACTCAAGTTAGCTTTATGTTCTTACCTGTCTGTTAATATCATTGCAGGCAGGGAGAATGAAATTGTGTGCTAGGTTGTATCAAGAGGTGTGGGTAACAAGCCTATGGCAAGCATCCTCTTTTTCTTTTAATCAGGTGCACAATAACAAAGGAATCCTGCCAGCACTCCTTTTGGCCTTGCTTTACCTCCTTTTAGCTTGAATGCCCATGTAAAAGTGGTATGTTTGTGAATTGCTATATAACTGGGCATTCACAATTGACTGCCATCAGGGCTGAGGGTGAGAGGGCTCCCACAAATACAA